GTTTTGCAGGCATTATGATTTTCTCATTGTTACTTAAGGTAACTACTATCCATTCTATCGGAACCGATATGTTCATTTTCTTATGCAATGGTGACGCAACAGGAGGGAGCTAAGAAATAATAACAAATACTAAAATAATGATAATTTATTGACATTGATAACTATAATATTAATAATCAGAATGATGGGATACACCTAATAATAATATTAATATAAAAACTATTCATAAAGAATGGTGCGTGTCACATACACCTTGTCCAGATTTTTTACTAAAAGGCAGTTGCGGCCCCAGCAGGGTATAAGCTCAGCAGAAAAGCCAAACCCCTACCCACACTCACTAAATATAATTTTATCATGATCATGATATAATTCTGTTGAATTTCTTACAGAATATGAGAGAACTTCTCAAAATAGTTTTCTCATCTGCGTCTAACATGGAATCAATTGCTATTCCTGCTCTTGGAACTGGTAATCTGCAGTATCCTGCTGATGTCGTAGCAAAGACCATGTATGAAGAGGCAATTGTATTCAGTAAAACTCACCCTCACTGCTCTTTACGGGACATCCAGTTTGTGGTCTTTCATAAAGATTTGAAAACTATACAGGTTTGATTTATTTTAGTTATATTTTGAAGATATATGGGGCGTGACCTGGCAAACCAACTAGTTGAGCTTTTCGGCAGAGTAACCCAAACTCTCTGATCAACAATTTATTCCATTTCAAAATTACATAGCACTTCTGTCAAATATAAACCCATCCTTAATGTGGTTAAAAACTACAATGTAAAAGTGTTTATCTCCTTGGTTTCATTAGTTTGACCAAAATGAACCTGGCAATGTGAAAGCTGCTTAAAATTGTAATTTATTTTTTTTAATGGCATTGTTTAATCAAAGCTAGCCATATCTTTGATGTTCGCTATTATGTTGGTAAAATCATAATGAACCAATAGACCGATTCGCTGATGTTTGTTTACAACCGGTCACGTGACCTACAGTTGGTATACCATGGAAAACATTAAAGTGTGGTCAGTGTGAAAGTACAGGAAAAGGTAATGTTATGGTTGCGAAAATAACAACCCACTGGTAGCGTGAGAACTAAATGGAAAGTAAAGGCAATAAGATTGTTCAAAATCAGGGGGCGGATCCAGGGATGTCCGAAAGGGGAGAGGACCTCGAAAGTGGGGCCGATCTGGAAAACACTACCCTAGGGGGCATGCCCGAGAAATTTTTTTTTTTCTTTTCTCCCGAAAATAACTTCTGAGGCATTTTTATATTTCTTTTTCCTTCTTCCTTTTTTCTTTTTTTGACTTTCCAAATTGGGGGGGGGGTGGGGCAGCGGCCAGCCCGGACCCCCAAATCCACCTCTGAAAATAGTATTTATTTATTTATTCTAATGTTCTCCTTGCATTGTATGCTTTGAAATTTATGTGACCCTTCGTAAACCTTAGCTAGCTTAGAAATTGTAGCCTCGAGGTTGTGTCAACGTGAGGCTAAAAACAAAAACAACATTCAAAAACAACAAATACAGCAATTATGATGATCTTTACAGCAATAACAAGAGACAGCTGCGATAGGAGTCTCCGCTTTGCAGGTCACGTAATGTCCATTCGTTCTGTTGTACTTTATTTTATTCAAGTACTGTAAATGTTACAAAACCTAATAAACAGCACTGGATATGATTTTTTTTTACATTTGGGCCTAGAAAGTAAAAGTAAAATACTTTTTTTTTTCATTGATTTTTTTTTATTGTGTTTTATTTTTATTTATTTCTATTTAACTATTTTAAACATATGTATTGTTAGTCACTGCTTGACTATTATTAACACAGACAAGTTGTTTGCCTTACCAGTGTTACTGTCATGCAATTTAAATATATATTCATAATACTGTATTTCTTTGGCATTTTATATCTGTCGTATTTGGCTTGCGTGTCAAAATCGACTTCCAATAAATTGCCAGAAAATATAGAGCAATGAATACCCTTCCCAGGTAGGTCTAACATAATATTTAAACTTTGTGTTTGTTAATCTGACTTTTGAAAATATATTTTAGATAAGTAATTTTTTTACCTTCCACTTTCACTCAGGCTTAATCATGAATGTCGGCTAATGTACCAGTAACCTAACCCAGATGTACTTGGTTTGGTCACTGGACGTTGTATGTCGTCATTGTTGAAATGCCCTAGATAGTTTTTTGCCTGTCCCCTCCTTCAAAATATGTTCATAGATGTGGAGGAGTGTATGAGCCCTTCATTTTGGGTCATACTTTTTTATATTCAGTTTGATTTGTACAGGTATGGATTCATTAATGTTTGAATCTGTACTAAACCAAGGCTATGTTGGGCTGTGTGGTTGTGAACCATGTTACGCCAAATTTACTACATATAACATCTAATAAAATCTTAGTACTACCTCTCTTTTAACCTAACATATTTTTGTGTTATTTTTAGTTAGCATTGCATATTTTTCCTTAATTGCAGTGTCAATTTGTAAAAAAAAAAATGTCATATTAAAAATGTTTGTACATTAGATATAGAAAACAATAAACTGGCTGAAGATAATAATTACTCAAATGCATTTATATTTAGGCATTTGAAGATGAGATCAACAATTTGAAATTTCCAACTCGAAAAGAAGCGAAAAAACTGAAGAAAAAACGACATAAACCCGTAAAAACAGAATACACAGGAGATCAGACTAGAAATGGTAATAACATACTAGTGTTTTTAAGGATGTTTTTAAAAATATTAATAGTAATTCAGCATTAACATTTTAGTTAAAAACATGTACGGTAAACTTGCCACCCCATCACCATATCAACCTGGAATTAAATGTGTGAATAACCTCAGGCAGGAAAGAGAACTTATGGTGATTTATTTTTGTACTAATAACATTTGATTAAAGAACAGTGAGTTATAAAATGAGTGTGCAGGATCGTTTAAAATTCACAGGCACGATCCTCATACAAACATGTAATTGTGGGTATGCAACTGGCATATTTCATAAGTTTTTTCACCTGTGTGTAAGTCCACATTTGCTAGCTGTGTCTTAGGTGTTAGAACACTAGACACTCAGAATGTCTGATGGTAGGCTCCTACTAAATACATAAACATCTGGACTTGTGTTCTATTAATAGACCATTCCACTAAGCCCCACTTCTTGGATATTGTTGCTTTCACTAAAAAAGAATTTTTTTTCATAGAAAAAGTGCATATGCATTAATCTACGTATTATAAACCATGGAAAAATATTGGCATAAACGTTAGTTTTTACGTAAAATGATAAAAAAAGGAGAAATAGATTTTACGTAAAAGGATAAAAAAAGGAGAAATAGAGACTATTTCTCATTACAGGTGACCATTTTCTCGACGACTTCTTCATTACTAGGCAAATTCATAGGTTGTAGATTGCATCCGCTGGAATGCTCTCACTTTTGTGTATACTTTATACAGTCAATCAAGTGCACCCTCTCTAAATTAGATTAGTTTTGTACTCATCTCGCACACTGCGGTCTGGGATATGTTGGCTTCATTGTTAAAATCACAGTTAGAATAATTTTTTAAACAAATTTGAACTCCAATGGCTTGTGACAACACTAGCAACGGAAAATATCATGTTGGCCATTTTATTTACTATATGATAACAGAACCTAAATCGATGAAAGACTAGGCTTAGCCTTGCAAGGCAGTGTTGCAAGGCTAATGTTTTCGGCGCCTATTTAAACATGACAAATTCATTCACGTTTATTTTTTGTGTGGAACACAAAAAAAAAATCAAATTTCAGTCTTATTTTACATTTTTTTCATGTTTAGGGATGTCTAAATTCAGTTAAACTAGCAATTCCGTATTATATCTATAAATCTTTATAACACATATATAAAAATCAATTTTTTTCTAAGAACTGAAATTTTACTGGGAATGGGGCTTTAAGTTGCACAAAACAATAGAGAAGACATATGTAAGCATTGTGTTTGTGGGACACTTAAACATAGGTCTGACCCTGTTCCGACTGATTGGTACTCCGGAAATATTTATTATTGATGGGTTGAGAAATTGAACGAGGAAACAGGTTTAATGCAGAGACTGCAACTGCCAAGACAAAATGCCTATACCTTTAATATAAAAACAATGATTTATTTATGACACACAAGGCTAAATTAATGCAAATCATATTAAAAGTTTTCCAAAGAAAATGATTGAGAGATAGAAGACTTTCCCCCAATTAACGCTGACTGCTGTTTCATATAATTTTAGTGGTTTCTACATATTTTTGTTATGAAAAACGATATGAAACTGCTAACAAACCCTGTACCTAAATCATAAAACACATGATCTAAACACTGCATTTCTGGCATTACCCATCCCATATCCAGGATCAATGACCAATTTTTTTTTTAAATATTCATATTCTTCACATTGTTAGCTTTGAAATGATAGGGTCAAACTTAAATTGACAATACTATTTCCAAAGTAGTAACAATACAAAGTACTAAGGTATACAATAAGTCTGCCACATTCTTATGATAATTTTTCAGTATAACATTTAGTGACACTACTATGGTTTTGATTTGTTACAGATGAAGTTTCATCACCGTACAAAGGTTTCAACAAAGTTGATAAATATCATGCAGAGATGAAAGTAGGTAATATAACTGTGACAATTAAAAAAGGAGATATAACTCAAGACGATTCTGATGCTATTGTAAATATAACATCGGGCAATTTTGACTTAAGTAATGGTAAATACATTTGATTTTTATTGTTGTATTCTTTGGAAGTTAGCAATACTCACATGTAAAAAAAATCCAAATTTTGGGTATTTTTCACATGTTTGTAAGTATTTTTTCCACGTCGCAGGAGCGTATTAAGAGGTTTGGAAAGGGGCCCTAATGTGGGGGAGAGGTGAAGTTGGGGTGGGGGTACGATAACTTGAAGGGGGCGTTAGCTCTTAAAAATAAAGTGGTTTTAACTACAGTACTTGAGCGTATTTTTGTTTCAAACATTTCCAGTGGGTGGAGTGGCTGGGGGTGGGGTAGTTAATTTTTCTTGAGTATTTTGATAAATTCCCTGAATAATAAGAGAACAAATTTTAACAAGTAAGTTCCGGGCGGCGAAATATAGCTAAACCATTTGATTGTATTTTTATAACAATCTGTGATTGTGGCCAGTGTATTTAAAAAACATTATGCCTTTTTGTACATTACAGGAGCTGTCTCAAAAGCAATTCTCAATAATGGGGGAATAGGCATTCAAAAGGAATGCCGCCAAAATATGAAATGTAAGATTTGTTGTGATTTTTAATATTTATCTAATAATTTCAATATATAATTCACAATCTTCTCATAAATATTTACCATATTCTCTGAGGTATTCAATCATTTATTTCCTTTTTTTATATAAAGTAGGAAAACCTAAAGGCCTACTTCAATACATACTGTAGGTCTCAGATGCTGTAGCTTGTTTATGTATGAATAGCTATTTTATAAATTGAAAGTAGGCCTATGTAGCATTTTAAACGACAAGACGAGATCTTCGAAACAATACTTTTAATTGTTTATAAGTAAAGGGATAAACTCTGAACCATCTTGTGGTAATGCTGTAAGTATATACCGTATTTGTTTGAATAAACACCCTTTTTGTTTTTTTTTTGTTTTTTTGCAATGCATCCTGTCATTGACGCTTTCCTTTTTTTCGACACGTCTCTTTTTGTATTCTTCGATAGATAGGATGAGGGTATACACACAGTGGTGTATCTAGCAGTATTAAAATGGGGGGACTGGTGGGGGAGTGAGACCAAAATATGAGGGGGCGTGGAATTTATTTTCGGTGGCCACGCCCACTGAATAATATTGCTCCTTAGATTCCCGAATACACATTAACTGTGACAGCATAAGCC